TGTCTTTCTCTGATTGACTTATTTCGCTTAGCATAATACCCTCTAGTTCCATCCATGTCGTTGCAAATGGCAAGATTTCGGGGTTTTTTTTTTGATGGTTGCATAATATTCCATTATATATATACTAAATCTTCTTTAATGGGTGTTCATCCTAATGACTCTTAATGAGGCCACAAGCACCTTCACGGGCTTCTGCCTTTCCTTCCTTCCTTGGGTCCCCACAGTGAAAATTATCCCAACCCAAGAAGTGCCAAATTATCTGAAAAATTGCTAAAAACCAAGTACTTTTTGAAATGTGTGAAGATGAAACATGAGAGAACCCAAATGCAAACAGTATTATATTGTCATGAAGAAAGAAATGGCTTCTGAACTTTCAATGAACACGGCGTAGAACATATGGAAGAATCTTTCTCAGGAAGTCACAACATTACAGAAATAGTTCCTGAGTCACTGAATAGTGATTCAAGAGGAGGGTAATACAAATAAGTAGCTTTTCCCTAATTAAAAAATTTGAAGGCGTAATACATTCTCATGGCTCAAATTCCAAAAGGTACAATAGAATAAATAGTGAGAAATGGCTGTTTTTTTCTCTTTGAGGAAAAGCACATTTCTTCTCAGGCAGCCATTGTTTTTGTTTCTAGTATATCATTGTTTTTTCTCTTCTTTATTTAAGATTTACTTATTTTAGAGAGACAGCGTGCACGAGTGAGTGAGCAAGGGAAAGGGTGGGGTGGGGAGAGGAGGAAAGAGAGAGAGAGAGGGAAAGAATCCTGAAGCAGACTTGCCACTGAGCATGAAGCCCAACACAGGGCTCGATCCCAGGACCCCGAGATCATGATCTGAGACAAAATCAAGAGTTGGCTGCATAACTGACTGAGCCACCCAGAAGCCCCTATTTTTCTTTAAGTAAACTCTACGCCCAATGTGGGGCTCAAACTCACAACCTGAGATCAAGAGTCACATGCTCTACCTACTGAGCCAGCCAGGTGCCCCTCTATATATCATTCTAGAGACTTTTTAAAACATATGTGAATGTAATAGGAAATTTAAATGCAAGTTCACAGCTGAAGCTCAAAGATAATAGAAATTATACTCCAAAATGAGATGTTAGACCCCATCGTACTGGGCTTGCCAAAAAAAAAAAAAAAGCGTTAGAAAACTGGTTATTCTTTTTTTTTTAAAGATTTTATTTATTTATTTGACACAGAGAGAGAGACACAGAGAGAGAGGGAACACAAGCAGGGGGAGTGGGAGAGGGAGAAGCAGGCTCCCCGCAGAGCAGGGAGCCCGACGCGGGACTCGATCCCAGGACCCTGGGATCATGACCTGAGCCGAAGGCAGTCGCTTAACCAACTGAGCCACCCAGGCGCCCAGAAAACTGGTTATTCTTAAACCCCTCACCCACACTGAGAGTGTAAAAGGGTTGGGAGTTGGAGATTACAAGAACATTTTAGAAAATAAATTTCTAATTTTGGAGTAATTTTCAAGTTACAGAAAACTTGCAAAGATGCTACGGAGTGTTCCTATGTATACCTCAATCACCTTCCCCTAACATCGTACATAACATAACCACAGTACATTTGTGAAAATTAAGAAATTAACATTGTTACTATCCTATTAACTAAACTACAGTCTTTACTTGGATTTTACCACTTTTCATTAATGTCCTTTATTTTCTCTTCCAGAATACAATCCAGGATGCCATGTTGCATTTAGTTGTCATGTGTCCTTTGGTCTATGACAATTTCTTAGGTTTTTTTTTGTTTCCCATGACCTTGACACTTTTGAAGATTGATGGTCAGGTATTCGGTAAATTGTCCCTCAGGTTTTCTCATAATTAGATTGCAGTTATGGGTCTGGAGAAGAACACCACAGAGGTGAAGTGCTCTTGCCATAGAATCATATTGGGGAACATGATAGCAACATGACATCACTGGTGAAGTTAATCTTGATCACTTGGCTAAGGTGGTTGGTATCTGTCAGGTTTCTCCACTGTCATGTTACTATTTTTCTAGATTCTTTGGGAGTGAGTCACTGAGCCCAGCCCACCCTTAAGTGGAGGGAAATTAAGCGGGAAGTATCTACATACATTATTTGGGATTCTTCTGTAAAGATTTATCCCTCTGTGCCCTCCCCCCATTTATTTATTTAATCATGGATATTTATTCTTTAGGTTATAATCTAGTATGATCGCTATTTATTCTGTTGCTCAAATCATTCCAGCTTTGGCCACTAGGAGGTCTTTCAGGCCGGCCCCTGGGTAATTTTGAGCACATCCTCACTTTCTGGTTCTGCAAGATTATGCCACCCTTATGTTGTATTTTCCTTATCCAAGTCCTAAAATCAGTCATTTCTCCAGGGAGCCCTTGGAAAATGGTATTTAGAAACCAATATCTGGGTACTAGGTATGCTCATTCCTACTGGGGTGTCACTGATCCTAGGTCCTCTTATAATCAACCCTAGTATGTACTGTCGGAATGCTAACTAGTACCCCTGTGAGAAACAAACTTACCTACTAGAGCATGGTGCCTATGTACAGTTATTTTTGTCTTTAGTTCACAGTATTTAGTCATAAAACTGTTTTCCAAAGTTACGTCATAGGTCAGTTCCTTTTCTCTCTTCCCCCTTCAGTGAGGTTATGTCATATATTTGTATTAAGTTAAATTCATTTGTCATAGTCTACATTCTTGATACTTTGGTTGATTTTATTTTTTATTTGGATACAGTAAAGTTGACTCTGTACAGGTATTGATAAGTACATTGGATCATGTAAAAGAGCAATTCTAAAGAGTTTTTCATTTGTTTGTTTTGCTTTTGTTTTTTTGAGAGAGAAGAATGTTCATGTGAATCCATTCTTGTCCCCCAAGGGAGAGAGGGTGAGAGATACCACTCCTAAGTCAGATGAGAAGTGTTTCCTAGGAAACTCAGAGGGCTTAGATGACCTCATGGGTTAAGGTTTGAGCCCTGAGAAGTGGAGGCTAGTGTCCTTGGTGTCTAAGACAGCTTCATGGAAAACTGTGGGGCCCTTAGCAGAAAGAAGCTGGAGGTCCCAGGACCAGGGAAGACTTAGCAAATGACCATACAGGGCAGAGATGCATTTGACCACGTGAAGAACACTGAAGCTGAGACCGCCAGAGTGATGGGAAGTCTCCAAAGAACCCAAAATGTGTCCATGGGAGAAAGCTGGCTGGAACATCTCCCAAACCCAGAAAACTGGTACTAGTATCAGTCTAATAAAAATGCTCCTGTTCCCTCTTACGCCTCTTCACTTTTGCTGTGCCAACCCTGAGAGTCAGAGGCCTGTTTTAGTAGACTGTGAGAGGAAAGAGGTGAGGAGGAGGAGGAGGAGGAGGAGGAGGAGGAGAGAGAGGACTGCAGCCCCCTTCCCTGACCAAAGCCTTCCCATCCGCTCCTGGCCCAAGAGGGGAGAGGGAGAAGTTTCAACTGTCAGTCAAGTCTGAAGTCTATCATATTGGGCTGAACATTTTAATTACTGAATGGAAAGTATCTCTTACCATTTAAAGTGACTGAGTAATTATTACTTAAAAGTAACCACAGCAGTCTTGGGAACTGTGTTTTCATTCAGGGACAGAGAAAAAACTAGTCCCACTGAATAAACTTAAAGAGACAGAAAGAAAGTAGAAAACAGAGAAAGAGAAATTAGGAAAACAATCTCATTTACAACTCCATCAAAAAGAATACCTAGAAATT